TGTCAATTATAATTATCTATATAAGCATGGTACTGTATGTAACACATTTTAAGTACTGTAATAGCATTTATTTATTTTATTAAACATTTAATACACAAAATAAATATCAATACAATGCTGAGACTATTTGTATTAACATTAATAACTAGCACAATGTGCTTAAGTCTAGTGGACAGGGATGTGTCCCACGAGACCATGGATTCAAACGCACAGATAATCCGCGGACACGACGCCAAAGCCGGTGATAACCCACACATGTGTTCACTGCGATGGGACGGTATACACGATTGCGGCGCCAGTATTATAGGGGATCAATGGGTAGTAACCGCCGCCCACTGTGTATTAATTTGGGACACATATCATATCAAGTACATATTTATTATTAAAAATATATATACATTTTTGAGCTTCAATTAAACAATCGTTATCATATTAAACAGAAACGGTACAGCATCATTGCACTGTGGCACTATTGCACGTAGCACAAGTGGTTCAAATTATAATGTTAGCAAGATTATTTATCATGAATTATATGACCAGCCACCAGGACTTCACGATATAGCGTTAGTGAAAATTGTGGGTAAATTTGAACTTGGTTCAAAGAATTTGAATAAAATCGAAATGGCTGCCAATGACACGGATGTAGCACCGGGATCTATAGTTAGATCAATTGGTTGGGGTATGACTAATGAAAACATTACGACATTACCCGAGATATTACAAACACTGGATGTGCCGGTTGTTAAACGCAGTGACTGTCAGTCCATTTATATAGACTTTTATAACTATACCGTCGCTGAGACCAGTATATGCGCTGGTGGTGAGGGCCGGGATGTCTGTGGCGTAAGTATTTAATAAAATTTTCTAATCCATAAATGTAAATTGTTTATTCATTATGCAGCATGATTCAGGGTCACCCCTTACGCATAATAATATTTTTGTTGGCATAACCAGTTGGGGCAAAGCTTGTGCTCATGTAGGCTATCCAACCGTATATACCAGGGTAGCTAAATATAGGGATTGGATCCATAATCACACAGGAATTTAATTATTTCACATAGAAGTATTTAAATTTAATATTTATTGTCCATTAATAAGTGATCTATGATTTTATTTTTAAAATTAAAATTTATGATGATTGTATATTAAAATTATTTTTAAAATAATAGATAATTTAAATAGATTTGCATATATTAGATTATGGCGTTTACAAAATACAAATCCATATTATAAACGGAAACTTATCATAAGCTAAAAGTTTTCATTTATTTCTTGGAAACTAATAAAACTATTATAATATCATGTATTTGCCGGATATGATAATAACTTATAATAGAAAAGAGTTAGTCATTTCAAGTATATATTAATAGCACACCTGACGAGAGGGCCAGTCCGGCACTACCGCCGTTCCCAATCTGTTCGGGGAATACCATCATTACTACGGCTATGACCAGGATATAGCCTACGCCGAGCCAGTCCATTATGAGACCCAGAGAACGGGATGCACAGACAAAAAGGAACCAGGTGGCAGTATGGTCATTTTGGTAGACATAGNTAATTATTTCACATAGAAGTATTTAAATTTAATATTTATTGTCCATTAATAAGTGATCTATGATTTTATTTTTAAAATTAAAATTTATGATGATTGTATATTAAAATTATTTTTAAAATAATAGATAATTTAAATAGATTTGCATATATTAGATTATGGCGTTTACAAAATACAAATCCATATTATAAACGGAAACTTATCATAAGCTAAAAGTTCAGTTGGGGCAAAGCTTGTGCTCATGTAGGCTATCCAACCGTATATACCAGGGTAGCTAAATATAGGGATTGGATCCATAATCACACAGGAATTTAATTATTTCACATAGAAGTATTTAAATTTAATATTTATTGTCCATTAATAAGTGATCTATGATTTTATTTTTAAAATTAAAATTTATGATGATTGTATATTAAAATTATTTTTAAAATAATAGATAATTTAAATAGATTTGCATATATTAGATTATGGCGTTTACAAAATACAAATCCATATTATAAACGGAAACTTATCATAAGCTAAAAGTTTTCATTTATTTCTTGGAAACTAATAAAACTATTATAATATCATGTATTTGCCGGATATGATAATAACTTATAATAGAAAAGAGTTAGTCATTTCAAGTATATATTAATAGCACACCTGACGAGAGGGCCAGTCCGGCACTACCGCCGTTCCCAATCTGTTCGGGGAATACCATCATTACTACGGCTATGACCAGGATATAGCCTACGCCGAGCCAGTCCATTATGAGACCCAGAGAACGGGATGCACAGACAAAAAGGAACCAGGTGGCAGTATGGTCATTTTGGTAGACATAGTACTGGCGCTCAAAGGCCTCCTGTGCCCCATAGGCCCGCACACTGACCAACCCATTAAGGGTTGTGCTCACGTGAGTAAACACTGGACTTCTCGCTATTAAATGTAAATTAATTAATCACTAATAACCACATTATAACTAATTTATAAGTACATACTAATCCCCTCGAACCGTTTAATATCCCTGGCCGATTTCACAGTAAATATAATTAAGAAAATACCCGGGATGATTAGGTAGACGTTGACAATGTCCACCGTTATTATTATACCCATTGCTTCTAATAACATCTGTATTGAGACAAAAATATATTCAAATTATCCATAAAACTCGTAAAAGTGATTATCAATAAAAATGTAAATTTAATTTATTTACAATATTTAAGTCAAAACCAGTGAAGGGAAGCATTTCGTCGACAGTTCCCATGTCTTTTGAGAATCGGTTTAGCATTTGACCTATAATTACATATAAAGGCTATTATTATAGTGATCCTGAATATAAAAATGATTGTATTTCTTAAATGTTGATGAGTAAAGATTAATTTTATAAAAGCCAACTTTACCTTATTTATTAATTATTGCTTATCGACCGAGGTATTTATGTAATGTTGGTGAATTAATTATAAGTACATAATTACCGACAGGTTTGTTGTCAAACACGGCTATCGGTGCCCGCATTAGACGCGTGAATATACTGTTGTGAAGATTAACGGACGCCCGCATACATATCATGAACCACGTGGTCGACCGCATTAGCGCCGTCACAAACAGGGTATATTTATCTAATATTTAAAAATATTTATTATTTAATCAACAAAAACCTATTTATAGCAAATAATTGTTATTTATTATGTTATTAAAAATATTTCTAAAATAATAATATTGTTGTATTTTTCCAAAATAATTAAAATTATTTTATTATATTAATATTAGTAGATTTTAACATTTGTAATATTACGAATGTCAATGTTAATTTAAATATATACTGTTTATGTTATTTTATTGTAAATTAAATATTCATAAATTAAATATTTATCTATTTAATTAATGACGATTATTTTAATTTAAAAACACTATTATATTATTTATAATATAAAATTTAATCTACTAATATCAATATATTATAATAATAAAATATTTTTAATTATTCTGGAAAAATATAACAATATTATTATTTCGTAAAAATTTTGAATACCACAATAAATAATTGGATTTTAATTAATTAATAATAATTAATAATAGATTTTAAAAGAAAATGTGTAATAAAGTTTTTATTAAATTTTATTATATAAATCAAATAATAGTGTTTTTAAATTAAAATAAACCCATTAATTAAATACATGAATATTTAATTTAAATTCTGTTATTATTTTCTTATAAATTATATTAATTTTAATGCTTTTTAAAATAATTAAAATTGTGTATAATAAATTTAATTTTTTTTGTTCAATTTTAATATTTTAAAAATTTATTTTAAAAATAATTTCCACACAAAAAACCATGTATATTTTAAATATTTTAAACAACAAATATTAGTTTAATTAATCATACATTAATATGTATAGTACCTATGTCAATAAATTTTATATTATTTGTGTTATACAGTGCTAATAATATATGTTGTACATATTATGTTTAATTAATTTTAAATACAATAAGATTTTATTTCAATAATAAAAACTATTATAGAATTTATGAAAAGTTTGAAATATTTATAAAAATATTTAATTAGTTTTAATCTAAAATGTTTACACGTTTAAATTAATAATCTAAAAAATATTTATTAATATCAATTTAGAAATAATTAATATTTGAATTTTTGTAATAAAAGTGAATAACTTATATTTAAAATACATTTGATATAACTAAGTGTCAAAGTTTATTTTGAAAAATAACATATCATAGAAATAATAAATAACATAAATATTTTAAATAAATTTATTCAGTCAAGATAAATTTATGTACGATTTAAAGGGAAAACATCTTAAATTGGCTACGAATGAGGTAATTGCATTAAAATTAATAAGCACATTTTAAAAGTTTTCAATGTTAAAGGTCCCACCATTTATCATGCTAAAACAAAATGAGTCAACAGATAGTTACGATCCGATTGGTGGGAAAGATATCATGTTATTCAATACGATTGCCAAACACTTTAATCTGACGTACGAAGTCAT